AATAATCAATCTCGATTATCCGCCGCTAAGATTCCTTCGTCAAAGCACAGGGGCTTGTAAAAACTGCCATCAAGGTATATACTGTCACTGACGGGGTCTTAGTACTATATAAAAGGAAAGGGATATAAGGAGGTCAACACACCAAGTTCGTTTCACACAAACGACATGAACCAAAACATGTTGAACTGATGGCGCCTGTCAGCGCGCTAGTCGCCATTCTTTCGGAGACACTTACATCTTACTGTCATAATGAGTTCAACATGTTTTGGTGAATGTCGTTTGTTTATACCGTGAAATAAACAAGAAAATGGGTGAGTTACCGCTACAAATTCTAAGCAGGGATTTTTTCGAGCTTCCGAAGCCCTAGCTCCCAAAGTACTGCTTCGATTTTTGTGCTGTATGTCTCATGTTGTAGGTAAATCTATTGACTTGAAAAGTGTGCAACTTGAAATGGCATAAATACAGTGAGCATTGTTGAATTCGCCCTGAAACGAACTTGGTGTGTTGACCTCGTTACATCCTTTTCCTTTTATATAGTACTAAGACCCCGTCAGTGACAGTATATACCTTGATGGCAGTTTTTAGCGTTACAAGCCCCCGTGCGTCAAAGGTAAAAGTTAAGAAATTTATATGACTTCTTCATGAAAGTGACTTCTGCAAAACATTAGTGCCCGCCACTCAGAATTTGCTTAAATGGGTAAGAATTTATTTGTTGCTTAACACGCATCACAGAAGTACTCAAACAATTGGACGGCAACATCTTAAACATACAATTCCTTGTCAGCATCGAGGGCCATCTTATTTTATTGAAACAAGATAGATATGTTAATTTCGAATTACGTTTAGTACGGAAGTTATAGATTTTTAACTGCTGTGAGGATGAAATTGATTTGGGTTGTAATAACATCGCACTCAGCAATATGCCAGCTCTATGACGGCGATATGTACATGATCTAGTCTGAACCAAAGAGCTCGGTGATTGACATGTCCATCGATGTACGCAGTCGGGATATGATGACCTGCTTCGACGACGTCAGCGAGCCTGACCACCCCATGTAATGCCTTTAGTCTCCGCTTACGGCATGAAAACCGAAACTGTATGAAGGTGAGAAAATGTGTAACGTACTTTTTTGCATTGTTTCCAGGTTGAACCCAGGCCTTGAACAATATGAAAGACTCATCCTACAAAGTAAACAACATACTTTGTCATATGTATTGGACCAACTTATTCAGTAAACTCATTCTGAATCTCTCAAGATTGAATTTTGTCTTTCTTTCTATTTTTCATGGATCCATTTTTACATGTATTTACCAATACAGTTTCTCACGTTGGACTGTTGGCTTACATGAAACGACGACGCCAGACAGAAATCAGTCTTCAATATCTGCTGATACATAATTAAAGGGTATACAAAAGTGGTGAAGATCGTGTGAGCTGTGATTTAAAACTTTTTAAAGTCACATCAGCAGTATTTTAGCCATATCGTGACAATGGAAGCTATTTATTGATAAAAACAACTGTCAACGATATAAAAACCTGTCAACAAATGGCAGTAAAATAGCTGGATCACACAGATTTAGACTTAAAACTAGCAAGTAACCACAGAATGATATTTTCTAAACGACAGGATGTAAACGGGCTACAAGATCGCTAACAACTGAGGATCACGACACGAGAGACTATAGGGACTTTCAGTACTTTTGCTACCTACATGGACTTGAGCTGGATTTACACCATACCTCTAAATTTGATTGATTCTAAATTATGTTTAGGAAGCTGTTTGTTAATAATTCATGCAAAACACTCACCGGGTGTTGTGAAATATATATAATTTATTTCAGACGTTTTTGCTCAAAGATACGTCTCCGATATATATCGATAATCGATCGATTTTAGTTAACGATTATCGATTTGTATAATCCATATCAATGGAGGATAAGCAAATGTTAATGTGTATATCTTGAATGGCCAATACGACATCGGATTATGACCTCCTCAAATTTTGACTGACAGCACAAGTAGACATAACCAATAGTTGGTTGTATGTCATTGGTAATTGACACCAACGTGGGTGTCCCATTTCTTTTGCATTAGATCCCGGATTTAAAATCTAATGACAGGTTTCTAATCACTGTATGGGATATGAAGTGGTATCAGAGATTTGTTGAGTGCTGTTTTGGCTGCAGCATCAGCCATTGTGTTACTAGAGATTCCAACCAAGACACGACGATACGTATTGGCCAGTAGGAAGAACATGAAATAGTTCAATGATTCAAATTAAAAGTGGATGTTTAGAAAACATGTTTTAATATCCTGAAGACACGAGACAGAGTTTCTCGGTTACATTTAGACTGGTTATTTAAATGCATGAGTATGTTTTACGCCGCTTTTAGCAAGATTCCAGCAACATCACGGCGGATGACCAAAGGATTGGGCTCAACACAATGTACCCACATGGGAAATCGATCCAGGGTGTTCCAGGTTGCGAGGGAACGCTTTAACCAATTACATATTTCAGAGCCATTAGTATGACATTTGCCCGGGGTTGAAAATTTAGCTGTCATCAGGCCCCGATTTCTTGAAACAAACTTAAGTCTGAGTTTTGACTTAAGTTCAAATTTTTACTCAAATTTGAGAAAATGCATTTCCCAGAATGAACTGAATCGATATTAAACTCAAACAAAGTAGACAACTTGAGTTTGGTGAATAGAATACTTAAGTATTTTGGGCTTTTTATTAAAAAATGCAGCTGAGTTCAAAATTCAGCTGTTTCAAATTGTCAAACTCAGTTTGAAATTTGAGTAAGAACTTAAGTTTGTTTCGAGAAATCGGGGCCAGGTAATTTTGAATATATTGTTCCAGACCCAATGGCAACTGTGCCAACATCTTTGGTTCCATCCGTGAAGGTGGATTTGTGAGTATCACAAGTGTTCCTTAATTCATTGTATTATTGTTGGTAAATTAGTCGGTTTGATCAGACTTCTTTAGTTTAGCTAGTGAGAGGGCCACCTCTGGTTTTACTAACTGCCATAGTGGAGAAGAGACAAGCTGAGTTGGAACTATATATTCAAGATTGATGTTGCAGAAATATGTGATTGTATTCTTATTCCAAGTGGTGGAATAAATGATGAGTTTTTCGTGTGGAAACGAGTGTGAAAACGGATTGGTGCTCTATATATAGTTGGAGGAGGATTTTCTGGTCCCTTCTCCACTTTGAACTCAAAACTTTTGATGTATCCACCGGCTACAGCGGCTACAGGCATTTGTTTTTAATATATCCAGTGGCTTCAGGCATGTGTTTGTAATATATCCAGTGGCTTCAGGCATGTGTTTGTAATATATCCAGTGGCTTCAGGCATGTGTTTGTAATATATCCAGTGGCTTCAGGCATTTGTTTTTAATATATCCAGTGGCTTCAGGCATGTGTTTGTAATATATCCAGTGGCTTCAGGCATGTGGTTTTAATATATCCAGTGGCTTCAGGCATGTGGTTTTAATATATCCAGTGGCTTCAGGCATGTGTTTTGTAAATATTAATGTGTGGTTGAAGGGTCAAATGATGATCGAAAATACTGCCCAAGACCTTGGTTTCCTTTACCTATTTAATAGTCGTGCCATCTAAAATTAATTCTGGGTCTTTAGGCGTTTTATATTTTCGGCAAAATAGGACACAATTAGATTTTAATTTTGAAAATTTGAATCATATATTTTGAATTATTTACACATAATTGCCGTTGCCTTTCAGCAGAGTTTATGTTTGGGATACGACAAGTAACATTCATATCTTCCACAAACAGTAATTGATCGATTGGTTCATTTAAAACATAGAGCAACCGTTTATCATTAAACATAATACTGCCTTGTGGGACACCCTGATCATGATTGTAATTGTCAGAATGATTGGATTGAGTCCATCGCAGCCTTGAGTGAGTGAGTGGAGTGTGTTTGGATATATATTCACATCGCAATATATCAGCCATACTGTGGCTAAAACAAGTTATAAATTCATGATATATATAGTTAAATGATATAAACGTGTGAGTGAGTGAATTCAATTTTCAATATTACAGCCATATAGCGATGACAGAAGGTATTCATTTTAAATTTTACCATGGCTACGTGAAATGCTCAAATTTGATTGGTCAATCCATAAAATCAGACGGTATCAATTTAAACACAACAGACGTGATGGAAAGGCTAATGAAACATTTATTAAAACTCGAAAAATACAATTATATATGATTTCTCCTCCACAACTGTTAGGGAACCTCACTATCATAATTATTACCGTCTATTAAAACATATTCAAACTCAATTACAATACACAGCCCCAAACATAAACAAACAATCATATTCCGCCATGAGTCCAATTGGAATTCCCTGGAACCTACAGACACAAGAGCCTTCTAACAGAATCTGTATGAGTTGGATGCTTCTTTGTATCAGAAATGGCTGCAGTTGCACCTTCAGAGCTGATCCGACGTCAGGGTGGATGAAGGGCAATCTGGAGGCCGTCATGCGGACAAAAGGTTTTACCCGCGTTTTATGACCTCGAAAACCGTTAACAACACATTTTTAATCCAGATGTGTTTCTTTTAAGAAATATATGATTGGTACTGTTGTTTATCGTACAATGAAACACTGTAGGGAGAATTAACTGTGTGTTTTTGTGTGTTTTCTCTCTGCAGTGTTTTAGTGCACGATAAACAACGCCCTTACCCCCAAACACTTCCTCGTTTATTTTATAATTTATAATAGAATGAACTTTTTTGTTACTGCTGAACTGCTGAATATGATTATCCGATCGCTGTATGAGAAGAACATCAGGACCTTATGGCTCAGGAGTTCAATTTAAGCTTCTGGTATTTCGATGATCCGATATCAATCAGCAACTTTCAACCATTCCCTTCTGTTTATGTACTCATATAAGGAAGAAAGACGGTCTCTTGTGAGTCTGGCCTCCACTAAACACAGATGACAGAAACAAAGACCAGACAGATGAACTCACCAATATTTTATTTTCATTGCATTATAATACAGAAGTGGGGTGTTCAGGTGGTGAGCTGAAATGTGGTCTAAGATCTGGATCCAACCTGGAAACAAATCAAATAGATATAAGCATTTAGTCTACAAAAAAGCAAGATAATAGTATGTATTAAGTTTACAAAAATGCAAGAGAATAGTGTGTATCTTGATATTGTTTGACACAATTAGAGATACCGAATGTTACATCCACTTACTCAGTTATACAGATCAAACTCTTATTCTTCCACAAACACCCTGGAAGGTATCGGGCAAGACTATACTTCTCCTGGCCTCGGCAGTATCACCCTGTATCCTTATGCACCACAGGTTCCTCACACACCTGTTACAAAGATATTGATGAGATTAAATGACATTACTATAATGAACGGATTAATTGAACCAGTTGTTAATGTCACATTAATGCCTAACATATTTATGTACGTGTATATATTAGTTCAAATGTGACCCAAAGGGAAACAATTGTATGTTTGAGAATATATATCGACGATTCCCTTCCTTGCTCACCTGTTCAAGGGACATATAATTATTTGTCTTGATTAAATGTGCAATTCGCTCGAGTGACAATAGCGAAAAGCCACATACGTTCCTATGTAAATTGGTGTCTCAAACAAAACCACAGCTCGGACATGACGATAAACATATCGCTTGTGATTATTTGAACAAAAAAGAGTTGAAAGATGATGGTGTACTGTGATCTCCCGGAATCATGAAACAGTTCATTACATTTAAAAATGTTAAACGCAAACCACATTATATGAAACTTAAGATAATAACAGTAGAATATCTGCAGGTAGAGTTTGCGTTCTTATGAAAAAATATGATGTTTACTATGCAGCGAAGTTCAGCAAAGTTATCCTCAGTTAAGTCATTACAATACGGAGGTCCTCTTTTATATCGTAATACTAGTATTTTATACTTAGGCCCGGGTGAATTTGACCGGGGTGAATCGGACCCAGAGGTATAACGCAGTTTGCTCTTTCCACGACGTTTTCAAATGGCATCATACAACACATGGCCAAAAGTTTGTTATTCAGCGTAACAATATGCAAGGCCTTAGTAAAGTTTCTAAACAGATTTCTGGGAGGTATGTTGAGGATTTGTCTAAATTTGAGCAAATGTGTCAAAATATTCAATGCAATTCCTTTTTAGAATCGTACCACATTTCCCATGATTATTGAGGTACATACGCACTTCTTTGCATGAACTTTTGATGGGTGCACTCGATGGTGTTTTCAGTGCCACACAATCATTGTTTGAGAGTGACACATTAACACCTGTTCATGATAAAGGATAGATAGGTACCTAAACCATTTCTTGTTACATATGTGAAGGACTTACTTTGGTGTCATTCCAGAGCAAGGGTGTCCGAATCTAGTTCCACAAACATCGCAGCATCCACATGCATCTTTCACGAAGTTTCGTCTTCCGCACCCCTTAGGCTTCTCACATGTGGTCTGAGAACAGGGAGGACAGGTTTGACCAACGGCCTGGTTCACCAGCACCACAAGGACAACCACAACCAACAAGATGTATCTCATAGCTGTTGATATTTCTTAGGGTGAATACTCTAAACTTTGAAGGAAACAATATCTTATATACTCTTTTCGATATGGTTGTGGGTGATCGCCATTGGACATTACTTTTTTATGACCATTGATACGCTTGGCTTTATCATCCTCCTAATCAATGTTTTGATTACAGGTGGTACCCTAACCACGCCCAGAGATTTAAACTGATCTCCTTCTCATCAATATTTTCAGCATCTTTGTGTCAATATATACAGCTGGAAAAAGGTAACCCCTCACCCACCCACCCTCTTTCCATATTTTTAGTGAAACGGGTATTGGATAAAAATTAAATGAGCGAGAATAAACAACAGTGAGCTGAAAAGAAAAACAACAAACAGAATATGACATCACCGCCGTGGGTAAGATTTCAAAGTGGAAATGTATTGGAATATATTATATTTTTCACATGTGAGAGAAATTGGATTTTTTTAATGAGTTACTTTCATTGTTTGAAAATATGCACTCATTTTTCTCATATTGAAATTGGAACAATACAGGTGTTGAGATGTTACGCCATTATGAGGCCATAGGTTACCCCTCGTCGAGTATGGTGTAATTGGTGCCAATTGATTTAGACTAGTATCCGTTCCAGTCCCAAAGCAAAAACTACTTCTACTTTTTCCCACTATCGGTTTGGAAAAATACGAATGGTGCATTATAATTGAAGCTAGGAGCAGCTGGATAGATCGATCGAGTGTTGTTTCATTCCATTATCAATACAAAACTTGCATAACACTGCTGACGTTCGTATGAATTCACGATCGGCAAGCGACCTTTCGTAAAATGGCATGTTCAACAACACAAGCGCATTTCAAACAAACGAAACTGTCGTAAACGATGCGAACTACCAGGACCGTTCTCATCGTGCATGAACCGTTGTAGGCCATGAATGAACCAAGATCTTACATTTTAAACGTCCGAGACATCACAGGATCTTGGACAGGGGCTGCTGAAGAGGAGCTGGACAAACTCCCTCAAAAAGGCCATTGAGAGACTGAATGAATAGTTGACAAATAAGGCATTATTACACACTACTGATCCAAAGATTTGATATTTCCAATAGTACCCTTCAACATACTGACACATTGTTGGTAGCCACAGCATGTGAAGTCACACTTGCCCGTTGTCTTATGGGCTCCCAATTCGTCCTTTATTACAATCGAACTTTAACTACAAACTGATATCTCTTGTATGTAAGACTATAGGAAGTATTAGTGCATGGCATTAGTTAATTTCTGACAAGCTTCGTTGTAATGACACAGGTCAGTGGAATAGTGTGAAATGAGGCATATACATTGTATAATTAAAACTGCTGTTGACACGCCACCTCATCATATCGGGCACCCCTCATTGCTCGGGTACAGCAATAAAGTACAGGTTAAGACATTCAAAAAATCTTGGCGAGCTACATTCTCTGTTCCCTGTGCCCACAACCATCTGCCACCCCCTAAATCACGCCAGATTATATATTTTTCGATATATGCCCCATTATCTTTACAACAACTGGTTCTGGACTAATACGTTTTATACTTTCTATTAGTTTCATTGACATTGTCAAAAATAATGTCATCTGGTTAATACATTAGGGCGTCCGAACATACCAGCTGTCGGCCACTAATCCCATCAGAGCGAAAGATTAACGAACGGTCAGTCTCGATACAGTGAGTGAGTGAGTTTAGTTTTACGCCTCACTCAGCAATATTGCAGCTATATGGCGGCGGTCTGTAAATAATCGAGTCTGGACCAGACAATCCAGTGATCAACAGCATGTGCCTCGATCTACGCAATTGGGAACCGATCACATGTGTCAACCAAGTCAGCGAGCCTCACCACCCGATCCCGTTAGTTGCCTCTTACGACAAGCATGGGTTACTGAAGATCAATATTCTAACCCGGACCTTCACGGGTACTCGATACAGATTACATTGGGTGTAAAAAGTATATGTACCATAAACACCTTTCGTTAAAAGATAGTAAAGTCACCGAATTGGTTAAAATCCAGCATGTTATCATAAAATGTATCACAACATAGAAACGGGCTGCAGATTGCCAGCAACTGAAGGTAGATCTACATGTTAGGGAGCAGGGGACGTACAGTGTGTTTGCTACCTGCATGGACCACACCTGGATTTACACCCTTCAGGTGTTGGTGGTTATTCGGAAATTTAGCCAAACATTGAAAGCACAAATATTCTACGAATGAAACGATGGTAAATATAGAAAATAGTTTGAATATAATGGGACTTGCGCACCTTCACTTTGTTCATCAAAATTTATGATTTGTGATGATTAAACATGAGAATGAACGATATTAAACTTTTTGTTTTTATTATTTTGACAATATAACATTTATCCCAATGTGATGGAAAAATCAGTGTAGTCAAGCAGGGCATGTTTGGCCGTGAATCATTCATTACAAGGGATTCAAAACGGAGGATCATCACCTTGGATCATATCTCGCATGGCCAATATAAGTGGCCGGTCGCATGAGGACGTCTTCATATATAGACTGACAACCAAGGTTGGTAACCAGTGCTTGGTTTAATTTCAAGTAAGTTGTTTACACCCACTTGGTGTGCTTAAACTCTTTGCATTAGATACTGTATCTAACATCTATTGACAGGTTTAAAATAACTGTATGGGATGAGAAGTGGCGTCACAGATTTGTCGAGGGCTGTTTTTGCGACAGAAGCAGCCCTTGAGATGCCTATGATACCAACAGGACTGGACAATCAACAAAAAACGATGCGGGGATGGGCCATAAATGATGTCGAGTAAAACTAGATGTTGACACAAATTATTATCGATTGCCAGAAGACTGGAGATTAAGTGTCTGAAAAGATAATGAATTCATTGTGTTTGGAATGTTTACATATATTTTGCAGAGCTGTCAAAATGGCCCTTGATGCGGCTGTAGAAACTGAAGAGTTATTTGATAATCCAGTTGATACAAATCGAATGAAAGTTCCGCAGACAACAATGTCGTTGAATCCATCTGTAAATACAAATTTGAAGATATTACAATTACGTCTTATCAGATTTTATTCTTCATGGCATTGTAATTAATTTCTTACCGATTTCTTTTATTTAGATAAGGTAAGGTTTCCTTGTGGTTTTACCAAAGGCGAAAGCAGGTGGAGAAGGAGACATAATTACGAGCTCAAAGTGAGCAGCAGGAAAGAAAGGTTTAATTCTCCTAAGGATGATTATGCTCAATTATAAGCAAGGTTACACAAGGACGTTGTATAATAAATGGATATTTCCCGTGGGCCATAGTCCATCCAGAGCATGCTCAAAGCGCTACATATATAAAGAGTTCTTAGAGTTTGTGAGGAAATTAAGACAGTTCGTCCAATATGACCATTAGAATAGAAGGATGAAGCATTTTTTATGGGAATGGGAAGACTGTTCCACAGGGTTGATGCTGCAAATCTGAATGATCTATGGCCAAAGTGTTTGAGATGAACTTGGGGAACTGATAGAAGATCTTGATTCTGAGAGCGGAGATTTAGAGGTTGTCCTTTGGCCGTAACACAAAGCCTATCAATGGGAAAAGTTCGGGAAGATCCAAGACAAAGTCTAAGACTTTGATGGTGTACGGGATCTAATGATTTAAGATTGAGTGAGTGAGTTAATATTTAACGTCACATCGGCAATATCTCAGCCATATCGTGACGAAAACAATTTATAAAATATATATTGTAGAGAAAACATTTTGAAGATTAAAACCTGTCGACGATTGACAGTAAAAATACTAGAGAATCACAGATATGAATAAAACTAGTGAGCAAAGCTAAAACATTTCAATTATAGAGGACAATACAGTATAAAACAAGGGCTATAGATCGCCAACAACTGAAGGTAGATCACCATACTAGGAACCATGGGGACTTACATTACTTTTTGCTACCTGCATGGACCCTAGCTGGATTTACACCATCCCTTCAGCCGCTGGCGATCGTAGGAAAATGTAGCCGGCAGTTAAAAGAACACAGATACTACGTTTAAAATATGGTAAATTTACATTTTACTTTGAAAGTTTTGGTACTCATGTACGATTTAAGATTGCTTTAGCAGACTCCACTGTAGACGATAGGAGCATATTCGAGTTCTGTATAAGTTAAGGAGGGTCGACTAGTCCCTTTCCCACATGGAGTTAGAAACAAAGTAAATTTCAGTAAATCAAGGGACTTCCGGCGTTTGGCGTTCAGAAATTAAATATGTACTAAAACAGTAAGATGCTGGTCAAACATTATTCTCAACAATTAAACTGCCTGTTGAACTTTAATTGGAGTGCCTGGAGATGTTATTCTGGGTCCCTATGCTGTCTATTCTTCCGACAGAAATGAATGCAATTAGATTTAGTTTAAACTTCAACAATACCTTCTGACAATCATTAAGTTTATTAAGATAGTTGTGACTGTCTCTCCATCGTGTGCATATTTCTACCTCGACATTATTCATTTAAAACTTTAGATAAGCTGTTTGTTTTGATGCCGAACAACGTTACCGATAATATACTACCTTATGACACACCTTGGTCCTGATCGTACTTAGAAACCTTCTGCAACTCACACGTAGCTGGAACTGCCGATCTGTTAACAACTAAGATGTCATCAAGACCTTTTAACATTCCATACTTCTAGATTGTATCATACGGTTTTACTAAATCGAAAAATATCGACACAGCATGTTGTTTATTTATCATAGCATTCTTAACGAAAGTTTCCAATGTAACTAAATGGTCTATTGTACTAAAACCACATTGAATATGTGTAATAATATTATTTGTTTCTAAGTAACATCTTAACCATTATTGACCATTCTCTCCATGGTCAAACAAACACAGCTAGTAAGCTATATTGGCCTGAATTAAAAGTATCGGCATGATCGCGGCCAGGTTTTGGAACTGGACTCACAATAAG